ACATACAGTTGACAGTTATTTCCTTTGTGTAAGGTAAGTTTGGCATTATCAATCTTTGTCTGGTAAATATTTTAGTTATCAGAAAAGCCCTGATGGCTTACGGTTAGTCACATGATTCTGGTTTTCTTGCAATTTTTTACATAATAAAATTGTTTGGAGGAGGAAATTCCTTCAAGTTGGTAAAGTCCACCTCCACTAAAGCCCACCTTCCAGTTGCAATCAGGCTAGTTCCTTCAGAAATTTAAATGCTTTTTCAAAGTATTTAACCTAAACTTGTTGTGAATAGGTAAAACTTTTCGCCCAATGACTGGTGTTTTATGGAATTTTTCTGCTTGTTCACTTTGGGGCAAGCATCACACCAAGCTTATAATACTGGCTTTGGGGTGTTGGTAGGATCAAAGCTGGTGGTGATGGTTGTGTGCTGTGGTGTCTGTTCTCAGTCACTCTGACACTGTATAGGGTTTCCAAGGCTGCTGAGTTTGAACTCACCTTGTGGTTCAAACCAGCTTTGCAGTCCAGTGCTTTATCCCACAGCACCACACCAGGATTCTGTATAGCAGGCGTGGGGAACCTGTTTTTCTGCCAAAATTTATAACATCATTCCTGGGCCATACAAAATTATCAACTTAAAAGTTGGTCTTCAACATTTGGTCAAATATTTAATTAACTCATGCTTAATGTGATGGTTGGAGTCCTGGTGTGGTACTGTGGATTACTGTGCTGGACTGCAAAGTCAGTTTGAACTTCAAAGCTGTCAGTTCAAACTCACCAGCCGCTCCTCAGAAACCCTATATAAAGTTGCTATGGGTCGGAATTAACTCAGTACTTACCAACAATGTGATGGTTGGAACTGTGGTTGCCATGGCAGGGCCAGACCAAATGATTTCAAGGGCCTCATAAGGCCTGTGGGCTGGATGTTCCCCACCCCTGCTGCATAGGGTTTCCAAGGCTATAAATCTTTACGGGAGCAGAAAGTCTAAAGGATCAAAGTTGTTGTTGTTGTTGTTGTTAGGTGCCATCGAGTCAGCACCGACTCATAGAGACCTTATGTACAGCAGAATAAAACCCTGCCAGATCCTGGGCCAACCTCACTACTCTTGCCACGCTTGAGTCCATTGATGCTGGCACTTGGCCAATCCATCTCACTGGGGGTCTTCCTCTTTTTTCTGTGACCCTCCATACTACCAAACATGATGTCCTTCTCCAGTGACTGGTCCCTCCTGACAATATTGTCAGGAGGGACCAAAGGATCAAAGTTAGGAGAAGGAAAATTGTTTCATTTGAGCTTAAGCAACATAAATTGTGTAGTAGATGAAGTTCTGCTTTATAATCAGAATTTATAATCTGATGGTAATCTCTAGGGGGTGCAAATATTTCGTGTTTTTTTGTTAGCTCAACTACTAACAAAAAGGTTGGAGGTTTGAGTACCCTGTGAGCGGTATCAGAAGAAAGGTCTGGTCGTTTACTTTTGAAAAATTATCCAATGTGGAGCACAGTTCTCTTCAGACACACATGAGGTTGCCACAAATTGGAGATGGCTTTACAGCAACTGGTTTTCTTAACTGGAATAGTCTAATGGGGGAGACAGATATTGGAGTATATACAGATGATCTGAAAGCAATGTGTTAAAAATTATGATAGAGTATTTAGTTCTGGCAATGGATTTGCTACAAATAGGGCAGGGGCTTGTCATATATTAATAAGAGTAAATGTATTGGACACTGGTACATTTGATATTACATATATTTGACAATTATTTCCTTTGTGTAAGGTAAGTTTGGCATTATCAGTATTTACCTGGTAAATATTTTAGTTATCAGAAAAGCCCCCATGTCTTACTGTTAGTCACATGATTCTGGTTTTCTGGCAACTTTCTAGTTGGCACATCCTATTCTACAGATGCTACATAATTTATTTGAAGACAGCCATTCATAACTACAAAGACCAGATGACTCAAATAGATACCATTTACTTGAAAACTATAATATCTAAATCATATTTAATAGAAGTATTTTGTACCATTTAGAATGTAAACCCTTTAATATATTAGAGTCTGTATGGTACTAAGAATTCACTCACTCAGCTGCTAACTGCAAAGTTTAGTAGTTTGAATCCACCCAAACGCACCAGGAAAGAAAGACCTAACGATCTACTTCCAAAAAATCAGCTATTGAAAGTCCCGTGAAGCACAGCTCTACTGCTACACATGGGGTCACCATGAGTTGGAATTAACTTGATTTATGTTTTTCTTGGTTTATGTCTGAGATAATTACAAAACTCCATGGCAGAGATAATTATAAAATGCTTTAAGACACTAATGCAAAGTTTTAAGTATAACAAGTAAAAGCTGAATAATAATTATTTCAAATTCTATCTGTCACCCATTTGCAGTCTTGGAGTCAGCAAAGAAGAAACTCATAGAAGATTCTGGGAAGGTGGAGGTAGAGGTGGAGGTGGAGGGCAACTTGTAAAATCTTCATTTCTACTGGCATGGCTTATAAATAAGGAAACATGTCCAGAGAGAACAAAGTGTTTGGGGATAGAAGTAAATAAAGGCTGCACACTCCTGTTCAGGCTGTTTCCATTATTTCACTTGGTTCTTAAATTGACACCCTATCATGAACAAATCATTGGTAATTTACAAAATATGTATAGTCATAATTTCCTAAATAGTATTTATTATTTAATAATCCAATCACAAATTTTAAGTTCATCAAATTGTTGGGTGTACCTAATGAAGACTCATACTTACTGAGCTCTTACTATGTGCTTAGCACTGTACTCCTTTGTTCATTCATTACCTCACTGAATCTTCTCAGTAACCTTCTGAGGTATGTACTGTTTTATTTATGAGGAAACTCAGGCATAGAAAGATAAGTAGCTTGTCCAAGATTACACAGTTACTAAGTGGTCTAGCGCTCAACTAGATGGACTTATGCAGTGGTACAACAGTGGGTTCAAATATAGCAATGATTGTGAGGATGGTACAGGGCCCAGCATTGGTTCATTCTGTTGTACATAGGTTGCTTTGATGGCCCCTAATAACTATATATCTTCATTGGAGAAATGTCTGATCAGATTGTTTGCTTATTTTAAAATTGAATTTTTGTTGTTGTTGTTGTTGTTGAGTTATAGGAAAAACGTATAGTTTAAATATATAATAGTTTTGAGGTACTTGTAACTTCTAATGTGTTTTGTAAAATACACTGAAAAATGCTTCTCAGCACATTTGCTTCTTTCATTAAATTGAACTTGCAAAAAGGAGGCCTGGTGACACAGTGGTGAAGAGCTTGTCTGCTAATCAAAAGGTCAGTAATTGGAACCTACCAGTCACACAGAGAGAAAGAGCTGAGCTGCTCCTATGAAGATTGCTGTTGTTGTTAAATGCCCCTATAAAGATTACAGTCTTGGAAGCCCTATGGGACAGTTCTATGAATCAAAAGCCACTCAACCACAAGAGTTTGGTACTTAACAACAATTAAGCGTATATGGTGAATTAACTGTATGTAGGAGAAAAGCTAGACTGCTAACCACAAAGAGTCCTGATGTGCGCTGCAGGATAATGCACTGGACTGCAAAGTTGGCGGTTCAAACCCACTCGCTACTCCTCAGAAACCCTATACAGGGTCTGTGAATTGGAGTGGAATCAAAGGCACTTAACAACAACAGCTAACCACAAGGACGGCTAACAATAAGGCACCTAACAGTGGGTATAGACAGATAATAGAACACTGGCCAGTCACAGTTCAGATTCTTAAGACTTCAAAAACATGTAGCAACATCAATTTAATAAAGAAAAAAATTAAACTTCTAGCCCTTTATTTTTCATTAGCTTTTATAGTTTCAGCATGATTTGGTCGTGATTATTTTTACACGGGAGTCCCGGTGTGGGAGTCTGGTGTGGCGCCGTAGGATTAAGCACTCTACCTCTAAGTGTGTTTGAACCGCAAGGTCGGTGGTTCAAACTCACCAGCCGCTCCTGTGAAAGTCGCTGTGAGTCGGATCCGTCTCGACGGCACAACAACAAAAAAACAACATTTTTACACGAGTAGGAATAGAAGCTAAGAGCATGGCTTGGTTGGTTCTCACCGTCATTGTTAGTGGCTACTGGGGCTTCTTAAGTGATGACCAGGTCCTTAAATTGAAAAGAATTATTATAGAAGAAACCTTAGAAATGCAATTCTGGGACTTGGTTAAAATGGTTCGGCTATTAAAGCCACGAGAGTAGTAGGTAGAAAAAGGCCTGTAAAGCAATCTTCCAGTGTGCAGCATTATGCTCTTAAAGCAAGTTCTCTATCTCCCAAGCCTGCTCCAGGGGTAGTGAAGAGACAAAAGAAACGCTCTGCTGGAACCCTTTAGAAGTTCAAATTTAATTTGCAAGGCAAAAAATTAGATAAGGATTACCCTCCCCCCCGGGCATATAGGAATTGCTCATCTGTGTTGGACAAATGAAAACTGAAATCAAATTAGAAGGAATTTTAAACAACTAGCAACTGATATATGTTAGGCAGCAAATCTAAGATGGAAGAAAAGGTAGGGGATATGAATTGAAAATGACAAGTTGAGGATTGAAAACATTTGAATAAAAGAATCCTCCAGCGTGGAATAGCAAAGCAAAAATTGCCACGAAACTAAAAAGGCCAATAGCTTTTACACTAGGTCGGTTTAACTGAAAGGCGGTTTCCTTTTCCTCCATTTGCTAAGTCCCAATTGGAAGCGCATAGCGTGGCCTGCACCGGGCTTGTAGCTCGAGGTTGGGCGTGGGGGAGGGGAGGTAAGTACGGTAATGGGGTTGGGCCAAAGCGCCTCCGCGCTGGAGCTTTCCTACTGCGCAGCGCTACCGTAAGCGGGAAGGAGGAGGGAGAGGGGCAGGAGGCGGGCCGGCTATATTACGTGCGCGGTGCCGCCCCTGCGAGAGGACGTTGCGTGCTCGCTCGCGCCAGGCGAGTCTCCGCGTCTTCCTCGCGAACTCGGTGAAAGGAATTGGCGCCGTTCGACACCAGGCGGGTCAGCTCTGCAGCACGAACCCACCTCTAGCCGCAGCCGCCGCCCGGGCCGAGGAGCAGCCGCAGTAGCCGCTACTAGTGGCCGTGTGAGCGGAGCCAAGTGTGAGCCAGCACCCAGAGCTGAATCGGGGCCCTCAGGATGAGTTCCTCGCCTGTTAATGTTAAAAAGCTAAAGGTGTCGGAGCTGAAAGAGGAGCTCAAGAAGCGGCGCCTTTCCGACAAGGGCCTCAAGGCCGAACTCATGGAGCGACTCCAGGCCGCGCTGGACGACGAGGAGGCCGGGGGCCGCCCCGCTATGGAGCCCGGGAACGGCAGCCTAGACCTGGGCGGGGATTCCGCCGGGCGCTCAGGAGCAGGCCTCGAGCAAGAGGCCGCGACCGCTGGTGACGAAGAGGAGGAGGAGGAGGAAGACGAGGAGGAGGGAATCTCCGCCCTGGATGGCGACCAGATGGAGACAGGGGAGGAGAACGGGGCCGCGGGGGCGGCCGACTCGGCCCGTATGGAGGAAGAGGCCGCCTCGGAAGACGAGAACGGCGACGATCAGGGTTTCCAAGAAGGGGAGGATGAGCTCGGAGACGAAGAGGAAGGCGCGGGCGACGAAAACGGCCACGGGGAGCAGCAGCCTCAACCGCCGGCGACGCCGCAACAACAGCCCTCCCAGCAGCGCGGAGCCGCCAAGGAGGCCGCGGGGAAGAGCAGCGGCCCCACCTCGCTATTCGCGGTGACGGTGGCGCCGCCCGGGGCGAGGCAGGGCCAGCAGGCGGGAGGTAAGAAGAAGGCGGAAGGCGGCGGAGGCGGCGGTCGCCCCGGGGCTCCGGCGGCGGGTGAGTGCTGCGTTGTTTGCGCGCGGCGGGAGGCCCGCGCGGGTGGGGACCGTGCCCCGGGCCTGCCGGAGCCCCGCCTGGGGGAGGGAGCCGGCGGCGCCGCCGGGCCTGCGGGGGGGAGGGGCGCGGGGAATCCCGGATTAGCCGGACGGCCTCGAGCTCGGCTGTGTGACGGTGGCGGCAGCGACTCCCTTATGTGACTCTCGAGCCCGGGGAGCTGCAGCTGCCGCTGAGGGGGGAGGGGAAGAACCCGTGCGCGGATCACAGGAGGGAGCCCCCTCGGCCCTCGGTGGCGCCGCCGTGCTGCGTGCGCGCGGTGCGGGCACATGTCGGTGGGGGAGGGGAGCGGCCCGAGGTCCCGGGGCGGGCGCGCTTTGGCGGCTCTAGGCGCTGTATTGTGCAAGGAGTGCAGGGGCTGGGCGTGACGTCACTTCCGGCGGGAGGGATCGGGCGGGCCGAGCTGGGCGGAAGATCAGTACAATGCGGCCGAGTAGCGCGGGCTCGTGTGGGGGAGGGGAGCGCAGCTTCGGCCCCGCCCCCCTTCCTGAACTCTCTCTGGGCTGCACGTGGGCTTCGGGCTGGCGCTGCGCCGGGCTTTTTTTTGGGGGGTGGGGGGGCGCCGCTTTCTCGAATTATCGACTAGACTGGCAAAATGAGCCGTTTTCTGACTGCAATATTAGCTTTGATTCTATTCCACGTAGACTGTTGTTGGGATTCACAGTGGATCCGTAGATTAATTTAAGCACGAACGGGAGACCCGAGCCTTTTTGCATCTCAAAAGAGAAAAGGCTGGTTTTGGTTGTTGGTTTTGTTTCTTGGTTTCTAAAGAATGTTGTGTATTGTAGGGGACGGCAAAACAGAGCAGAAAGGCGGAGATAAAAAGAGAGGGGTGAAAAGACCTCGAGAAGATCATGGTCGCGGATATTTTGAATATATTGAAGAGAACAAGTACAGCAGGTAGAGAGCTCGACCTGCATTTTCCTAGTGTGCGTTTCGCGGGCGTTGGTGGGCGGCGCTGTTTCAGGAGATGATTCTCTCTTTCAGAGCCAAGTCTCCGCAGCCCCCTGTTGAAGAGGAAGACGAGCATTTCGATGACTCGGTGGTTTGTCTTGATACTTGTAAGTGAAGCGGGTTTTCCTCCCAACAACCCAGTATGGTGATGGTTTTGGTTATAAAATGTCAGAAAACCTAACGTTGTAGTAGTACTTGATTGCAGTAAGTTTGGAGTAGGGTTAAACTATTTGTTGAAAATAAGGAAGATAAGGTCCATGTTCGGATTCTATTCCTGGTAGCAAAAAAATACTTAGTGACGCATCGGTTGTAGTGATAATTTCAGACTTTAGCGATTTATTAATTTTCTTAACTTCAGAGTTGTCGTTAGGAATATAAAATAATGTAAATTATTGACTGTCTAATGGAAACTTGTAATACAAGACTGCCCATAAATTGTCCTAATAGGCTTTGATAAAGTAATTCTGTTTTTTTGTAGTTATGTCAAATGAGCTATTTGGGCTAGTTAAATATTTACTATTAACTTTTTCCACTAGCACACAAGTATATTCCCTATTATAACAAAAGATTGTAATGATACTTTTCAATAACTGCTCTTTTGTTCTCAATTCCAGTTCAGTAGCTGCTGCTCTAACATAAGTTGATTTCTTCCAAAGACCTGGGGCAGCAGCAGTGGGCTCTCACTGGGCCACTAGTGTCTTCTGAAGCGCACGGTGTCAATGGCAGCACTGTCAATACTGCTACTTTACCCAGTTGGGTTACAATTGAGTATGAGGAAGTATTGCAAACCTTCAAGTGGGCCTTGGCTGTCAAACTTTCTTATTATAAAAATTACTGTTGGTTTAGTGTTTGATAGAACCCAAAGCTCACTCAGAGTAGAACAGAAGGTAGAAACAATGATTTTGAAGTACAAGTAGGTAGTGTCAGTCAGCCTGCCCTCTAGATAGAACATGGCTTTGTACATTATTGAAGCTTAGATTCTCATGAGTTACGAATTCTATTTATTCAGATTTGTAAGGTTAAACAAAATTCAGTGAGTACTGTTTCGGGTAGTTGAGATAGTCATTTGAGGTCTCTAAAGGGAAACCTCGCCTGAATAAGTTACTGATTTTAAAGTTGTACTGATAAATTGTGTTCAAATATAGTCACTAGGAATTAAGATCCTGAAGCAATGTTTCAAGAAGGTATATATATAATTCCATTATAGTTTTTAAGCAAATCAATTAGAGATAACAATTTAAGTTCGTTATTGGGTTCAAACAGATTGTATGTGTTGCAAGTTGTCTGGTAGTAATTTTTTTTAAAGTTAATTGACTTAAGGAAAATAACCAACTGTGCAGCATTAATTTCCTTACTCAGAAAAAAAACATTCTAAGTCAATGTTAGCTCTCAAATGTGAAGTCTTAGAAGGTGCATGCTAATGAGCCAGTGTGACCCACAAAGATAGCTAGTAGTTCAAGGAAGCTTTGGATTTGGGGTAATCCCTCATGATTACTAACTATAGAATGGGGTATAAACAGCTTTAGAGATCAGAGTTTTATACTGTGTAGATTGAGGCTGCCTTCTCAAGTTGCAGGAGTTTTGGGACTTAGAGTGCTCATTTAAAAAATAAAAGGCCATGGCCTCCCTTCAGTTTATTGTGGCACTGGTAAATTCAACCTGGTTCTGGCATGCTTCACTTTTGATTTCCTGCTACCTTCTACTGCTTGCCTCTATATCAAGGTAAAGAGCAGAGCAGGTATGTATTAATGTCACATTGTTTTAATTACATGCTTAAAACATGTTAAACCTTGGTATTTCTTAGTTCTATAGGCATTTTTACACTTCAGCTCCTAATTGGTAAGAGTGGCTTTCTGGCGGGAGCGGGGTTTCAGTGGAAGATTAGAACAGCATGATGATCTATAAAAACAGTAGGAGGTTTTGTGCAGTATAAATGTTAGAAAACAAATATTATGTCAAAAGACTATAATGTGATATTTGGTATAATTACAGATAATTGTGATCTACATTTTAAAATATCAAGAGATCGCCTCAGTGCTTCTTCCCTTACCATGGAGAGTTTTGCTTTTCTTTGGGCTGGAGGAAGGGCTTCTTACGGTGTTTCGAAAGGCAAAGTCTGTTTTGAGATGAAGGTAAAGGCTAATTTTGTGATGTTTAGAAATAACCTTTGTGGCTTCTCATTTGCCTGACACTCAATGTCAGAGGCATGTTGATTTTGAAGTGCTTATGGATTAGAAGAGGATCTTGGGAGACTTTGTTTTATAACTGACAAATAGAAATGTAAGGGAAATTTATATGATAACGCTAGCCAATTCATTCAGGCTACTTACTGCTTTTTACCAGGCCACCAAAACGTTAAATGAAAATTTGGTTGGGTTTCTGGGTTTGGAAAGAAAATCATGCTAAACACACTAAATTGATATTTCACAATTAGTGGTCCTTTCAAATGTTAATTGACCAAGTATTTACTTCACCTTTTCAGTTTCACGATAATAAGTTCATAGGCTTCAAATCAAAAGTTGTTGAAGGAGTCAGGGATGAGTTTCTGTTTTTGTGGGAGCCCCAACCGTATTTTCCCGTTGGCCAAACAAATTCAAGGGTTTGTTGTCTTTGATTTATTAAGAGTTTAACCATTTATGATTTGATTTTTTTTGTTTTTTGTTTTTATAGGTTACAGAGAAGATCCCAGTAAGACATTTATATACAAAAGATATTGACATACATGAAGTTCGAATTGGCTGGTCACTAACCACAAGTGGAATGTTACTTGGTAAAGTTCTCATTTGGGTGATATGGGCTTGTTAATGTTTAGGGTCTGATCTCAGTGCTTGTTATTGCTGTTAGGTGCCATTGAGTTGATTCTGACCAACAGTGACCCTGTATAGGGTTTCCAAGGAGCAGCTGGTGAGCTTGAACTACTGACCTTGCAGCTCAAACTGCTTTGCAGTCTGATGCATTAACCCACAGGGGCAGTTTAACATTTTTGTCTGATGTCTTTTAACATTTGAAGTCCTGGTGTGGTGCTGTAGGGTAAGTTCTGATTTGCTAATCGCAAGGTTGACTGTTCAGTCCCTATACAGACAGGGTAGCTGGGAGTTGGAACCCACTCCATAGCACTTGACACAGTAGCAGTAAGCTCAAGGTCGGTGTTCAGACCCACCAAATGCTTCTTTGGAAACCTTGTTTGTACAGGGTTACTCTGAGTAAGGACAACCCTCCCCCCCCTCGGTTACTTATGACCAATGGTTACAATGCAATTTTAACAATTGTATGCATTTATATTTGTCAATTTGATGTAAAAAAGTTTTTTCAATTCTTTCTAGTTTGGGGATAAGTAAGAGATAGTATAGTAGATCAGTCAAATGTCAGTGAAACATACTCATTGTTCATATTAAGTCCTTTATTTTAAAAGATGAAATTAAATTGGCTATAATTAGCCTATTTTGAAAAATAAGACTTCATGGAAGTTAATTTTTTAGGTGAAGAAGAATTTTCTTATGGGTATTCGCTGAAAGGAATAAAAACATGCAACTGTGAGACTGAAGATTATGGAGAGAAGTTTGATGAAAACGATGTGATTACTTGTTTTGCTGTAAGTCAGTTAAATTGTATGCTCTATAAATGCTAAAGTGTTAACATTGTCCATCTTTGGTACTAATCAACATAATATATATGCACTAACCCCAGGTTAGAGTATAATGACATTGGAAATAAAAGGAGTAAGAAACCATTAAACTCTGAGTAAAAGCTTTAAATATGAAGCTGACTTAAAATTTTATCTAGTCCACCTCTAGAGCAGTATTGTTTCTGTTTCTCTCTATGTGACATGTTTCATTGTTTGTAACCATTGGAAAGTTCTTAACACAATATATTTTTCACAGGATAAGTTTCACTCTTAATTTTTTTAAAAAGCAGATTAGAAGTTAGCTTTTCTATTTTAACAGAACTTTGAAAGTGATGAAATAGAGCTCTCCTATGCTAAGAATGGACAAGATCTTGGTGTTGCCTTCAAAATCAGTAAGGAAGTTCTTGCTGGACGACCACTCTTTCCACATGTCCTCTGCCACAACTGTGCAGTTGAATTTAATTTTGGTCAGAAGGAAAAGCCATATTTCCCAATACCAGAAGACTATACTTTTATCCAGAGTGTTCCTTTAGAGGATCGAGTCAGAGGACCAAAGGGGCCTGAAGAGAAGAAAGATTGTGAAGTAGGTATTTTTTTAATTTGTTGTCAATTAGGTAATTAGTATGTCAAAAAAGAATCTATTTAATTTCTACCATAGATAGCTGTTGCTTTCAGAAAAGAACTACTTTAGTCGCAATGATTTCCTTGTGTGCAATGTTAAATTTAACATATAAATTGCACTGTTTGTAAGGGTTATGAAAATTAAATAGTGAAATAATACTTCATTTCACTATAGGTTGTAATGATGATTGGCTTGCCAGGAGCAGGAAAAACTACTTGGGTTACTAAACATGCAGCTGAAAACCCTGGTAAATACAACATTCTTGGGACAAACACCATTATGGATAAAATGATGGTAAGTAAAATACTCTTTCTCTGTTTTAAAAAGACCAGAAGACATTTTAGGTAACCATTTTCCCTGCTGTCTTACTTTTTAATCTTTTAGAGGTGGGAGTTTGAATAAAGTTAAATTGACTTATGTGAGTAAGGGTTTATCATTAATGGCCAGGCCATTAGTAATTATCTTTTAACAGATCCTTTGAACTCTTAACATGTAATGGCTAACGAGTGCTATTAAGATAAATAATTATGAGGAAAAGATTATTTACATTATATTTTTGCAAAAGTTTGGTTTGAGATGATGTTTACTTAAATGTAATTCATATATCTAAGTTCACAGTGAATTTTTAACTTTTAAAAATAGGTAGCAGGTTTTAAGAAGCAAATGGCAGATACTGGAAAACTGAACACACTATTGCAGAGAGCCCCACAGTGTCTTGGCAAATTTATTGAGATTGCTGCCCGTAAGAAGAGAAATTTCATTTTGGATCAGGTATGATGTGACCATGAAGTTTAAAACTTTGGAGTTAGTGTTGCTTTTGTATTACTTTGAATTAATTGGTTAGGATTATAAACTTAGAGGGGTGGGAGTTTATTGTCATACACGCCATCCAATTAAGGTTGAACACAATTTTGTTAAATTTGTAGTCGAATGAAACAAATTTAAGTCAGAGTTTTTTTGTTTTTGTTTTTTAAGACAAATGTTTCTGCTGCTGCCCAGAGGAGAAAAATGTGCCTCTTTGCAGGCTTCCAACGGAAAGCAGTTGTAGTTTGCCCAAAAGACGAAGACTATAAACAAAGAACACAGAAGAAAGCAGAAGTAGAAGGAAAAGACCTTCCAGAACATGCAGTTCTCAAAATGAAAGGCAGGAAATAATATATTTTAAGATAATCTATATAAATTAACTTGGCATTATTTATCATGAAGTGTCATGATTGAAAGAAATAAGAATTTTTGGCTTATTTGGGGGGCGGCAGGGAATAGGATAAGTACTGGATCACAAGAATTTTTAAAGACTTCAAGAATTGTAGCTCTAGGATTATAGTTGTGTGTGATGGTTTTTTAAAAAGTAATATCATTAATTTACCATTTTATTCTCCATAGGAAACTTTACTCTGCCAGAAGTAGCTGAGTGCTTTGATGAAATAACCTATGTTGAACTTCAGAAAGAGGAAGCCCAGAAACTTTTGGAGCAATATAAGGAGGAAAGCAAAAAGGCTCTCCCACCAGAAAAGAAACAAAATACTGGCTCAAAGAAGAGCAATAAAAATAAGAGTGGCAAGAACCAGTTTAATAGAGGTGGTGGCCATAGAGGACGTGGAGGATTCAATATGCGTGGCGGAAATTTCAGAGGTGGAGGCAAGTTTAATTTTGAGTTGCGAATTACACGATATGGTTAAATTTTAACGTTAATTTTGTCTCAAATAATCCTAAAATGAATGATTAAGAAGTAGCTATACTAATAACTAAGCATCTGTTGTTTTAGCTCCTGGGAATCGTGGTGGATATAACCGGAGGGGCAATATGCCACAAAGAGGTGGTGGCGGTGGTGGAAGTGGTGGAATCGGGTATCCATACCCCCGAGGCCCGGTTTTCCCCAGCCGAGGCGGTTATTCAAACAGAGGGAACTACAACAGAGGTGGAATGCCCAACAGAGGCAACTACAACCAGGTATGTACGGCCTTAGAGAGGAGCATTAATGTTTGTATAGTTTTGTATGGAGAGTGTATAGGCATGTGTTTCAGAGACACAAAAAGAATTCTCAGGAACCTGGTAGTGTTCACACAATGAATAAAAAAAGTTCCCTTTCTAATTTTGGTTTTCAGGTACACTAATTAGAAACACAGGGTTCCCAGTTTCTGTATTGCTCAAAGATTACAGGCTAGCATTTGTAGCAGTTCCTCCTCCATCCAAATCTTAACAAGCTTATTGGGCTCAGAATTCTTAGTTTTGTTTTTGTTTTTGTTTTTGTTAGAACTTCAGAGGACGAGGAAACAATCGTGGCTATAAAAATCAATCTCAGGGCTACAACCAGTGGCAGCAGGGTGTAAGTAATTTCTTATGTACTAAAGCAACAACTATGTACATTTAGTTGCTTTTTTGAGTTCATAGGAACCAGTCTGGAAAATGATCTTGTCCAGTGAAGTGTTATTGGACATAGCCATAACCTTACCTTTTGAAGACAAAATAGGTTGGAGTTTGCTATAACTTAAAACTTAAAGTAATAATATTAAATATGTAATGGTTTTGTTACCTAGCTTTAATATTGTAAACTAACCAAGTCATTATGCATTTTCTTTTGTAATGTGTGTATTGGTAATAATTGGGGTTTAATACTAACAAAACCTGGTTTGATAGAAATCAGATGTATGACAGGTATAAATTTGTTTGCAGCAATTACTCTGAATTAGATTCATTGTCATTTCCTAAAAGCAGTTTGAGTGGCTTATTGATGTTTTTTTCTTTAAAAAAAACAAATTTTCTTTTACAGCAATTCTGGGGTCAGAAGCCATGGAGTCAGCATTATCACCAAGGATATTATTGAATACCCAAATAAAACGAACTGATACATATTTCTCCAAAACCTTCACAAGAAGTCGACTGTTTTCTTTAGTAGGCTAACTTTTTAAACATTCCACAAGAGGAAGTGCCTGCGGGTTCCTTTTTTAGAAGCTTTGTGGGTTGATTTTTTTTTTTTTTTTT